TCCCCGACAGGGATGCTGTCGCATTGGACAAAAGGCCACCCTGGGTCAGTGCCCTCACCCTAAGTGATCACGTCCGGGAAGGGCCTGTTCTGAAGTCCTGGGATGGTTTGCTGGTACTGGGTCAAGAGTCGGCGGGGGGCCGGCTAGAGGGGAAAGGCCCATTTTGATTCCCCTCATTTTCAGGCTCACAGCAGAAATTTGTCAGCAGTACCACAAGTCAGGTGCCCCGGTCTCTCCCAGGCCACGTGGACGTTTTGACAGGAATGGACCTGGCTTCTGGCCAGCTGAGCTGAGCGGTCAGCTGTCAGAGGGTTCCATGGCTAGTGGATGGCTCCGGAGCTGGCAGCTCCTTGGTTGTAATAGGGGTACCGCCTTCACCTCTTCAGTTGGCCCATGGAATAGGTGGCATAGGGTGACACTGCCAGCTGAGAATGCCGCCATCACACCACCAGATCCCAGCAAGTGCCCAGGTGCAAAAGCGAGGTTCCAAGTGAAACCCCAGTTCTGCGCTCAGGGGCCCAGGTGGGCTCCAGTGCGGCCGTGTGTGGGGAAGGCAGCCTCATTGTCCTGCCGGCAGAGACGAGCGTCAGGCTGAGCCGGCGGCTGAGCTTCCATGGGACTCAGAAACAAGCCAGGTGGAGCTCACCTCCAGCCTCGTGTCCAGAGCAGAAAGCTTGTCTCAGGCGTCCCCAGGAGACTGACCAACTCCTCCACCATGCACACGGAGTCTCGAAGGCTCAGGACCGCCACTGTCCATGAGAGATGGCAGGGGTGGGGCCCACCACCCCCCTGGCTGCAACCAGGGTCCAGGTTCCTTCCCGCAGGCCTCTGGCAGACACACAGGTACGTTGTACCAACCCTTTTACTAACTGGGCTGACTTTCAGGAGTTTGCTCCGAGGCCTTCGGAGGTCAGCAGGGTGTCTTGCTCAGAACGTGCTCGCCCAAATGGCCCCAGGAGGCTCTTGCTCCTTAAAAATATTCTTTTTGCCCTAGCTGTCTTCCCCCACTGTTAGCCTGTGGGTAATCAGCACCTCTCCTCTCCCCTCTTCCCCTCCCCTTCTGCTCTGCTGCCGCCTGGCAATCAACCCAGGAAGGCCTTCGAGCTGGACCTGAGGTGGGGCTCGGCTCTGAGCAAGTGACCAGCTGGTTTGGCTGTGTGAACTGAACACCCTTCATGTTAAAAAGGCTTCTGGACTAGGTCTGATTCTCGGCTGAGTGCTGGGGACTGCGCTTGCCCAAGGGCAGAGGGCATGCGGTTGGCCGGCTTCAGACTCGCCCAGCCCATGCCAGCCCGTGCTCTTTCCAGGCCAGCAGCAATGTTTTCAGTGCGACCATTTGCTCTGGCGCACCCAGCCAAGGGGCACCATCCCAAACCCAGGGGCTCGATCGTTTCAACACAGGAATCTTGGCAAGAAATAACGCAGTGCTGGGCTCTCGGTTCATTGTACCATCAGGGAGAAATCTGGAGGAAGCGAGATGGAAAGTAGCAGGGGAACCTACCTAGATTTGTCTCAGAAAATGGAGTTTGGACCCTGTCTGTAAATGAGTCCCCAGTCTTGTTCATCCATGTAGAAATCACGCAGGCCGCTGTTAGGGACAGCAACAGGGTCCAGTTCCTTCCCGCAGGCCTCCGGCAGACACAGACAACCTGCGGCGTCGGTCAGCTTCACGTGGCCACGCAGGCACCGGAGACAATCACTCATGTTGGCTCAGCTCTGGAAGTTGCGGTCATGACCAGTGGGCCCCACGGCTCTGTCCCTGTGGCCAGGTGACCCTTCACCCAGAAGCTCAGGGCAGAGCAAAACTGCTGGCCTCACACAAAACAGCAGAGCAGGGGCGGGGCCCCGATCCCCCAGGGACCTAAAGACCTGCCAACTGGCCCCCTAAATGTCCCCCACCTCCAGACACCAGGCTGGGGACCAAGCCTTCAACACTAGATTCCTTGGAGGACACAGGATCCAGACAATGGCACCCAGAGAGGGCTCCTCAGCAGGACCCAATCAGGGAGAGTCACCAGGGCGCCTGGGTGGGGTGGAGGGGGTGCATGGCCAGCTGGGTGGCTGAGACCCTGGACAGCCAGCAGGATCCGAACTGACCTCCCCAGGCCTTGCTTTCGGGCTCTGGCAAGCTACGGACTTGCGTGGAGGTGCACACATGCTCCTCTGGAGACTGAGGACAGGAGGCTGCAGGCTCCACATGGCCCAGATTACACCTCCACTCACCCTCAGCGTTTTCTGTTCAGCTCTAATCTGGCACGCTGCTTCCAATAGAACGAACATCATGCAAAGTTCAGCAGGAAGCAGACTTCAACATCCACAGTGCCCTGAGAATCAAGGAAAGATTATGAAATTATTTTAAGAAAAGGAAAGGACTATGTTTAAAAATATTGCTAATGTTAATAACATTATTGCTATGATTATTATTTTGAGCAACTTGTTGTAAAATGTCATATTGAAGCAAGTAAACCAAGAAGTGAATTTAAAGAACGCTAATGAAAGCCAGACATTTTTATAACATATTATGAAATATGACTTTGAGTTTCTTACCGTGATTAAAATTAAAATTTTCTATTTTCCTAAGTCTAGTGATTTAGCCTGTATACTTCATGCAGAAAGACTTTGTATGTGGTAATAATGGGGCCAGCAGTCACCACCCTGAAATAGACAGCATTCTCATCTGAATTATCAAAATTCAGTAATTTAAGATAATCATAAAATATCAAATCAGGCAAAAAGACATTACGAATGTAAAATAAAAACAGGAACCACAGGGAAGAGCCAGTTGTGGGGCATGAGCTATCAGGAGCTGAGGCAGAAGAGCTGGGAGGCCACGTGGTCAGAAGGCGAGTGAAAGAGACAGAAGTCGCCTGAGAAAATGAAGCCAAGGGTGTGACCGGAAGCTGGTGACGATGACCTCTCAGTGCCAGGTTCCAGGAGTCCCCAGGAGAATGACTGTAAAACAGTGACACGGGTGAACTATTTTGGAATCAAACATCTAGAGGCCTCTGGGTGACAGTAGGGGTGGGCCAGAGAGCAGTGAGGTCACACGGGCCGTCACCGTGGAACAGGAGCGTGTCACAGACCTGGGGGGTGTTCTCCAGGGACAGCCCAGGCAGCTGCGGGGGGCTCCCCCACGGTGTCCACCCCCTGTGGCAGCCTCCCAGGAGCCCAAGGAGGACGGGGTCTGCGCTGGGGAGGTGCCTCACGGCCTGCGTCTGTCCAGCCTGCTGGCCTCCTTGTCCTGGCACCCCCGCCATGATGTGGCCTCAGAGTGACCTTGGCATGCAGCGTCTGGCTCAGGCTCAAGCCCCCAGTGCTACCTGGAGCGTGGCTGCCACGTGGCCAGGGGCAGGTGGAGCGTGGCCGGCGAGTGACAGCCTCTGCTCCCGTTATTCCACCAACATCAGCCTCCCAGTCCCGGCTGGTTGCTGGGGGCAGGATACTGTGGTCCCCCGTGTGCTCTGGGTGACAGCTGGGTGCCCAGGGACAGCATGAGGGACACCCACAAGAGGCCCCGTGTGCTGCCCTTGTCTGCACCACAGAGAGGGGCCCCTTGGCCAGCACCTTAGTGGACAACTCAGAGGGGTGGGATGGCACCCAGAGGACCAAGGGCCCCCTCACCAGCTTCTCCAGCTGACCTGGCCCCACGTGTGGACGTGCCTGCTGACCCTGGGCCCGGCAGGAGAGGCTCCTGGACCAGCTGGACCTGCGGGAAGAGCGGTGGAAGACCCGGCCAGCGAGTCCGATGCTTTCCACGATGACACGGTCATCAGGCTCCGCGAGCTCCGGAAGCACTGGGTCCCCCCTTGCACAGCCCACGTGGGCCCTCTCCCCGCAGCGCTTGAGTGCAGCTCAGTGCCCCAGAGAAATCCCTGCAGTTGGCTGAGTCAAGCCAGAGCAATGTGATGAGGTCAAGGGCAGGGCAGGGCAGGACCAGAGGCTCCACCACTCTGGAGGAGACTGTCCCTGGCTGAGGACAGTGACATCCGTGCCCTCCCCCTCGTGGCTGATTCCTGACTCCACAGGCTCTGCTCACAGGGGGCTTTGGCCAAACAAGCAAAACCCTCTCCGCCTTTGCTGGGAGTCCGCCTGGGCCTGGGTGCGATGGGCCGGGAAGCTGTGGGTCTGGGAAGGACACGGGTGCTCGGGTGCTTTGGTGTCCTGAGGTTCCTTTCAGGTGCCCTCACCTGGCTGGGATGCTGCTTGCGCCTCCCTGGCCCTTCTTACGTCTATCCTGCAGCCTGGTGCCTCCGGGATCATGGCTCTGCAGCCCCAGTTCCCAGGTGGAGGCTGTGGTCACTCTACCCCCAAGTGGGCTGCAAGGCCAGCAGAGGCTCGTCCTCCTCCAGTCTCCCCTCGTGAAGTGAGAAGGGCAAGCAGAGCCTGAGGAGGCTGGACGGTGCTGCCAGGCCTCCACTTCCAGCCTCCACTCCCAGCCCAGGTGGTCTGCCCTCTGCTATGTGGGGACACACCATACCCCCTGGGAGTATCTGCCGCAGGATGCATACGGAAGTTTCTGGGGAGAAAGAATGGCACCCTTGTTAGCCAAGGACTGTCCCCTGCCCAGGGGACCCCAACACCACCTGTATGACACACAGAGACTCAGCACAGGGATGCTCCCAAGGGAACCCACGAGGGTGAGGGTAGGAACAGGGAAGCTTCTGGAAAGTGAGCTTCAGGCTCTCGGGCTGGGCCCGAAGGAGGTGAGGAGAAGGCAGGGGTCTCGTCCCCAGACACAGGGCCTGGGGCAGGGGCCTCGGGAGCTGCAGTTGCTCGGGCCCCACTGCCGAGGGCCCTTGCTCTGCATGGGGTTGGTGAGCCTTTCCCCAGATCTGGACGAAACGGAAGGGGGTTGAGGGGAAGGAGCATGCTACTGTTCATTCTACTGCTGCATTGCAGCCCTAGCTCTGACCAGGCCCCGCAGAAGAGGTGCGTGGGTGGAAGTCAGAGGCGAGATGACCAGTGCGCAGTACTGGTCACATGCTGAATCCTGTCCCCAGATTCATGTGCTGAAGTCCCAGTCCTGAGCTCCTCAGAATGTAGCCTTGCAAGGCAAATTAGGCAAAAAGGGTCATTAGGTAAAATGAGGTCACTTGAGTGGCCTTGAACCAGCGGCTGGTGTCCACATGGAAGGGTGACTTACGGTCGTCCGCGGCCCAGAGGCCCTCAGAAGGAACCAGCCCTGTTGGCACCTTGGTCTCCACTTCCTACCTCCGGGACCTTGAGGAATGGTTTGTATGACTGGAAACATGTCTGTCGGTGCTCTGTTGGGGACACCTAGTGGTCCAGCACATCCTATTTGGGGACAAGCTGGCAATTGCAAAGAGCCACTAAAATGTCTACACTCTGACACACCAGTCCACTTCTGGATATTTATCCTCAGCAAATAACATAACGAAACCTTTAAAAAGTTACAGACACAAAGATGCTCATGAAGTTGAAGTTTCTAAGGCAGCAATAAACTTGCTAACAGTGGGAACATTACGTAGCTACAGTATAGAATAGCAATGGAACATCATGCAGTGTTTAGAATTAAAATATGAGGACAATGGCTCGCGATGAAGGTTGAAAGTCGTGCTTAACAATTGCAGGGGAAAGGGGCCTAGCTGGATTCTGCACACGCCTCGCTGTCGTTAGAATTATGTGAAAATGTGTTCTCAGAGGGTGAAGAGCTGACAGGCCCAGGCCAAATAGTGTTGTAGTTTTATTTCCCTAAAAACTTCTTATTTTACAGAAGTTTCTCAAATACAAAACTGTCTTTATAAAGTGGAATAAAAAACTGAGTCAAACCAGGTGCAGTGTCGACGCCTGTGAACCCAGCAGCCCGGGGGGCAGAGCAGGAGTCTTGTGAGTTCAAAGCCATGTTGGTAAAAGCAAGTTGATAAGCAACTCAGTGAGACCCTGTCTCTACATAAATACAAAAAAAAAAAAAAATAGGTTTGGTGGTGTGGCTCAGTGGTTGAGTACCCCTGAGACCAATCCGCAGTACCAAAAAAACAAAAATAAAAAACCTGAGTCAAGAGGATTCCTCAGAACTGTCTATGGAGCTGTGTCCTGTTGGCTTGTGTGCACATGTGCTTGCAGATAGCCCCCGTGCACAGAGCACACACGAGCTCATGCACACCCATCATGAGTATATGTGCGTGCATTCTTGCACATGGACACACACATGCACATGTAACACACCCACCCATATGCACATGACTGTATGTGCATGCACCCACATGCACTTGACTCCTGCACATGTGCATGCACATGCACGGACACACATACATACATGCATGCCTTGAACACATGCCTGCTGTAGACTGTACATCTGTGTACAGTAATGTGCTTTTAAAACCCTTCAGTGTATTCAAAGAACAATCTACTATGACTCTGTCCAGATTATAAGTGCAGCTCATTGTGGGACAGTGCTTTAATCCAGTAATTTAGAGTAGCAGGACAAGGCTTGACATTATGTGGTTACTTGTCACCTGTTCTACGGCTACTTGTGAAGGTTTCAAATGTTTTCTGATACAAACATTTGGCAGAGTTGGAAGAGAAGGACACTCTCCTCCACAGAAGACTTTTAGCCAGGTGACATCATCTGGAGAGTGAGGTAGCTGCTGTGGACACTTTGAAGTTCAGGAGGAACTGTGTTTATGACGTGACCAACCAGCTGTCACCCTGTCCTGGAGCTTCTAGAAAGGCCATCAAATGTGAGAAAGAAGTCCTGGCACCCTCACTGGGAGGAAGAACCCAGGCTGTAGACGGTTGCAGGCAACATGATCACTCCGTCACTCAGCTGGGCAGGAAGCTCCAGGGTCTCACTCTTTACACCAACAGCCTGGAGGTGCACAGAGTTTCTGATTTTAAAAATCAATTTAAAAAAATGTAGCAAGGAACAAGCAGATGAAAATAACCCTGGGAAGGCTGGAGGAGACGAGAGACAGGGACGGGCCACGGTGGCCTGTGGGAGGACCCTGCAGCTGCAGTCCAGGAAGGCTGAAGAGGTCTTTGGCACGTGCTCCTGCCCCCCGTGGAGAAGCAGGTCCCATATGCAGACCAGACTGACCCGTGAGGACACAGGACCTTTGGAGCATATGAAAGGCAGGTTCTTCCTTCACACTCTCCACCAGAACAAAGGCCCCAAAGTTAAGTACAGAATGCAAAGCTGCAGAGCAGTGGCCCAGTGGTTGACAGTGCTACCCACATTTCAAGTCTCAACACCTGCTTACCCAGATGTTTACACAGAAGAATGCACGCTGCACTGTGATTTGAAGACTATGAGATTAAGAATTTGGAAAAACATTTATGGCTGACAATGTAGAATTGGTTTGAAAACGTTGCTTTGCATCAAGACAACAGACTATTTTTGAAGATTGTAAAAACTATTTTTTCCACATGTGAGTTTTTTTGTTATGTAAAGGTACAGGATACAAAACTATATAATATTGTCCAAACTTTATCTTTGGTAAGTGGAAAGAAATGCATTAAAATGTTAACAGTAAAAATTAGAACTAAAAATTTTGTTTTCTGCATTACATTTTTAATAAAAAGTTGTGAATGCCAAACAAGTTCTCTTTCCCATGAGTGGCTTGCTGTTTAGAAAAGAATTAATTCCTTGGGGCTTAAACACACAATGGCCTTCCATCTAAAATTCTCTGAGTTTGTTAGAGCAAGCAAGTTGCTCTCAAATGGAAATGTGGCATATTGACTCCAAGTCCTCCTGCTCGACTCCTGCAGACCCACAGCCACGGCCTGCGCACGGCAGCACACGCCTCATCACGCTTGAGGCTGGCAGCTCAGGTTGGAGAAACCTGCCGGGCACAGTCTCAAGGGGGCTGTCTCTGCAATGTGCCAGAATGTGCTCCTGCAAGTATTTGCTGGTGAGAAATGGGTGGGGGATCATCAGGTCTTTCCTGCAATCCCAGGTGGCAGAGGCATGGTTGGTGTGATTTGTATTTACCAGAGCTGGGTTTCCCACGTCTCAGAATTTTGCATTTGTGCCGATACAAGCTTTGACACAAAA